AACGAATGATGAAATGAAATGATCGTTTGAATGTAACATGGAAACAGTGACTAAAACATAAGTACATGAACGGTCGTATTTATTTTTGAACGCTCATATGTGACTTTTCAGTTTGAATCGTAGATTTATTAATGAAAAGGGCGCACTCAAATTACAACAAAGTACAAATTACAAGTAAAACGTGCGCTTATGACCCACAATCAAAAGGTCGATGAGCGGCTTCGAAATACGTGTGTGAAGTAAAAAGGAAAGAGGTGAAAAATCTGGCGTAATTTAGAAATTCGAAAACAAATATAAGTGTCGTGTTATCTGATTAGCAGTACGAGTACACTTGAGTGCATTGCGAAAACCTCACACTGCAGTGGATGCGAGATTCAAAAACTTAAACAACGCAATGCTCCATCTGGTTTATTCCGTATCGCGTTAACAACTTCAATTTCACAGAAGTAACACTAAGAAGACAGAAGTATCCGATAATTACCAAAAAATAATGACGATCGCTTAACTAATCGTTAGTTGGCCATGTACACAATCGCTTCGAGCGAGACGACCGCAACTAGAACATCGGGAGCCAAGATTTGCCAGTGCGCCATCCGGCAGCCGAGCTCAACAAAAAAGGGAGACAACTTACAATTAAAAATGGCCGCAGCGCCGTGCGACACATAAAATATATCTATACATTTATTGAACACATTGTGACGGTATCCAGCCTCGTGAATTTCTCCGCAAAACGACCGTAGCAATGCGATCGCGCTGGTCGCCCTACAAGGAAACGTTTACTGAATAATAATGCGGATTTCTTGGTTTTCATTCAAATCCACATGCCTCTTTATAAATCGGTCTTATGACGAATTAAAAAAGTTCGACAAAAGCACGAATTCTTCAAACAAACGAATTCAAATTGACGTAAACTCCTTAAACGTTTCCTCATACGAGAAATTCATTTCAAAATAATACAAAAAAAAAGAAATTAAAATATATTTACAGTACTACCAAATAATAGTTTTAACTATAAAATTAAAGACACTTTCCGTGCTTGAGAAGATCAAAATAAAATACCAATATGTAGTACCATAAAATCAAATTGTACAAATGCATCACTCAAATGGCAGAATCATAAATAGGGTTCACGTCCGAGGAAGCCATTTTACTGATATTGTTTTTTTTTTTTATTAGCATATACGAAGGCAGACGAAATTCAATATTGCCATAAGAATTTTCGGTACGCCGCCAAACGTAATATGGTGAACTTTCTTTGTTAATGTTTATCCAGAATAAAAAATTAGAAACAATAAAAAATCGCAATCGAAGTACCAATCTCGCATTAGCTGGATTACGCATTCGTCACGAGTATTCATGTTTTAATGTATACTGATACATATTTTTAAATGGGAAATCGAACCTAATCGGGAATCGGACAATATTTGCGCATCTCTACGTAAACGACGTCGACCTGGATGTGTACGAACATGACCAACAACAAACAAAACCGACCAGTATTCATTCCGCGCAACCCACTCTCCCCCTATGACCCCCATGACCATCGTCGATCGTACGACCCGAGAAAAAAAATCCAAAACACGTAACGACAAGTCGTCAGCCCCCAATTCTGACCTGCCAACCCAAAATCATACACATATGAAAACGAGCACTCAAAAATAATTATAGGCTACAAATTTCACTCGCTCAAAATAATTATTGAAATACGAAAATTCCAACACGATACTGCACGTTAAATAGCCCGCATAGTTCACAGATCTGCAGTAAATTTGTTACCAGCTAAGGTCTCGTACCCCGGGTCAGAGTCGCTCAAGAACATTATCGACACAGTTTAAATAAAACAACGAAACTATGAAGAAACAGAGAACCGAGAGGTTATGTATCATGGGTATTCATTGTTCGGGTTTCGCCTCAAATCGAGTGCCCCTGAAACCGTTACAGCTCTAAAAACAAAACCACTCTCAGATCTTGCAAGTTAACGTTTCCCACAATTTCGTTCAATTTTAACGAGATTTGTCATACTAGTAATTGCGAGTTCACGCAAACCATAACAGAGTAATTTGTAGCAAAAAAACGAAGAAAAAGCGCAATAGTCAGACAGGGATCTAACTAAACAACGCGAGCCTTCCAATCACCCCCCTGCATTCCCACACCCTCCGTTCATCCAGATTGGAAGCAGCCAAACACATACAGACAAGGCAATTAAATTCATCACACATTATCGATTGATTGTCTAAAGATCCAAAGAGTTCGTTTGCAGTCAACAGTTTTCGTTTAACATTTTAAAGAGCATTCTATGACGAAAGTTATCCTTAGTAAGATAAAGGTCGAGAATAGTGAAGATTATGGAATGATGGTATTTGTGAGTATCAAGAAATGTGACTTGATCATTGAATGGAGGAGAAGATATGAGAGATAACAAGCGGTGACTTCATGAAAATTACACCTGGTTATTAACGATGAGTGTGATAGAATCAACCAGCCGTCTGCTAATGGGTGACATATTGGTGCAGATAACCACCTGGTCTTAAGTAGATTACTGCATCACAATAGCATCTGCAAATGAAGATGCGTCACCTTGAGGACTACGGTATTATTCCTCTGGTGCCCGTGAAAACTGGATCCCTTGCCCTTTGTAACGCAATTAAACAACATTCATATTGTCTTGCGATAGAAACAGGCAAGGTGGTGGTAACTAGCCAGTCGGACCCCGCACCAAGATCCTCCCACCTAAACGCTTTCTACCGACTCACGGATCTTTTTAAATTAGTCTTGAATATTATTTTGCATTTTTAACATTGACGACATTTTTTAAATATTTTAAACTTATCAAATACAATTGCATCACCTTTCTTTAGTATTGTTGACTTCGAATTGTCTATTCTGCAGACAATGAACAACATTTTTTTACTTATGTCTCAAATGTTCTATGCATATTTACGCATATTGTTTTAAGAGTTACATTTACGGAATATTAAACACTAATTTCAAACGACCCGAATCAGCAAATACACCGAGAGAACGAACGTAAGCTCAATGAAGTACTGTAAGTGAATTATAATTTATGAACTATAACTTGAACTTATGTGTTGAAGGAGAAACGTTGATTTTAAATAATAGATATAAACCGATACTTATGTGTTTGTTTTTGAATGAGTATCGTTTAGTATAAGAGAATATAAAAAAAAAAACTTCTCTCGATGCATTAACTATATAAAACTCTTCTGAAAAACAAAGTTTTAAAAACCGAACGTCAAAATCCTTTTTTTAAACCGAAACAAACGAATATTAAGAACACAATCGAATTAAGGCACCATCATAAGCTGAAAGCAGCTTAAAATTTTCTTAAAATAAACGAAAAACAAAAACATATTTAATTCTAAACCGAACGATAAACGTTTTCGAATCTGCCGAATGTATTGAGTAGAATGTTTTACACCCGATTAAAAGTGCTAGCAGCGTGCACGCATATTGTATAACGCCGTCCCAAGTTAAAAACCGTTCACATCCCACTCACGTCTGACCTTGTAAAAACAATTCAAGGCTCCAAACAAACAAACGATAGTGAAAAGAAAATTCGAATCAAGGCACCATTTGAAAACAGTTCAGCTCAGCGATCTTAAATATTCTAAGTGGGTAACTTTATATTTAAAAAAAAAAAAAAAAACATTTAAGAAAAATAATACGAAATAATACTAATTTTTAAAAGTCACCCTAGTCGACACCGATTGGAAAGCGTCAACAAACAAATTAAACACCCAAATTAATATTTAACAAGATTAATATGAGAAACAAAAGTGAACCCCCTGTATAAAGTTAGTCAGGAGGATCACGCTATAATGCTTCTTCTCCAACCAGAACAACTACCTATCAAATTATAAGATTAATCACCATTCGGATTCAGTATTCGATACCTCCGAACTACGTGAAAGTAAATATAACTAACTACACATGAAAAAAAAAAACAATAAAAAGTTTGCTGCATGAAATTATCGATGTTCACAGCGTATCGTTCACACTCGTATTTCTTGTTGCCTTAAAGTTGCACGCTCGTTTTGTTGCAAATCTCATCGAATTACCAACGAATATGTTCTGAACGTTTTCAGAAGATAAAACCGTATAGACATCGGTTCGTGACTTCGAATCCGTGACCCTAGAAACATTCAATACGCCACGAGCAAGCAACATACTAAATACGAGTACTAAAATCCTAATCGAAGGCAGATTTCCTCCTCATCGTCGACCATAAAACTAAATAAATGAAAATGTCGATTCCGCTACATAGGACTTTTATATAGCGACGCCACTAAATTAATATTAATCTTAATTAGAAAGAATTTCATTTGTATAATTCGTAAAAACAAATGAGATTCTCAGAGAGAAAAAAAAGTAAAACAAAAAATACATTAAAGAACAATATACTACTACAGTATCTGCCTCTTACTGCACTATATTGAAACTCTCATTAAAAATAGAAGGAAATTATAATAAGGTTTTTTTTGTTGTTGTTCAAAGTGAAATAGTAGGTTATTACTATTATTAACTACTAATTAATTAAATCTATTTAGAATAATTACGTACTTACAATCTAAACTGTCATTTACCTTTAGACAACCTTTAATTACATCCTGGGCGCTATAAGCCTATATGTATCGACTATATTTTAAGTTTTTTGAGCATTTGTGGTGTGTTTTGATTATTATTCTTTTAAAGTAACTACAAACTAACAGAGTTTAACTCTTTAAAAAAATATAATATAAAAAAATGATGATAATAAAGAAAAAAAACTAAGTTAACTAACTAATAAAGGATAACATTTTTAGAAATGTTTTTTTTTTTTTTTCGTTTTTAATGACTTATGCAATAGGATAATTGATGTTAAAATGATTAAAGTAATGTGATGATGATCGAGTGAAATTAAAACAAATGTAAAAATAATAATTAAAAAGTAAAAAAGAATTTAAAAAAAAGAAAAGAATTAGGCAACATTTAGAAATATTTCAAATTTTCATTCCTTTTTTGGTCTGCTCTTTAGTTAGACAGACATTTATGTTCATGAAAATATTTACTAATAGCGAAAATCGATTACTTTTATACTTAATCGAGGAATAAATGTAACTATGAAGAAGCTATATTATATCTATATAATTAGGTATTACAACTATTAATTTTATACTGTTTGTTATCTTAGATTGCAAGCATTTTGAATTCCTTGACAAAGTTCAGCATTCCAGTTCGGCTGGATACAGTTTTACGGCTGGTAATGCCGGCCGAGGAACTGTTGGGGCTCGTGCAGTTTCCTCGTTGCCTGGTAGACGTCGCGTTCCTTGTCGGGATACTTCGTTGGTAAGTTCGGGGAGTGCAGATTTACTTTTGCCGCGTACCTATACAGAAAAACGGCTTTATTCTCAATAATAAAAAAAATGGAATGAGCTCCCCTCCACGGCGCTATCATATATCCTCCTTCAAACGAGGCTCACACATCAAGTGGGCCGTATGCTCGTCTGCTAACAAAATCAATAAACATGTATACATCGATAGCGTAGTTTTTGTTGTACAATATATTTACTAACCTTATCCCGGCTATGTCGATCTCATAATGGCCGCTCAGAACGTAATCGTTGTCAACTTTCTGCGTAACACCGTCCTTATCGCGTTTCTCGACGAAACCAAGGCATACCTGAAAGCAATCTCGTTTTTTATTAAATCAAATGAAGTAGCTCTCTTACTATAGTGTTAAGCGGTTCCACGAGCCGTTGATACTGGTGGTAGAACGTCTACTGAATCCGCGCGGATAGTTACCACCACCCTGCCAATTTCTGCCGTGAAGCAGTAATGCTGTTGTACTGTAAAAACTGTGACCGTAGAACTTATATCTTAGACCGTGTAGAGCGCTTCGTGATTTGTCGGCGCCGCTCGGAGCCGCTTCGGCAAGCCAATCGCGGCGCACTTATTTTTTCGTTTCGTTTCATTTCGTTTCATCGAGTTTGAAATCACGATTATAAAGAAGTTTCACTTCAAAAATACATTTATTTTACCTCCTAGAACAATGAGACTCGTTAAAATCACGAACCTGTTTCTTGAATGTGAATCCGTAACTGGTGGTGGTTGTCTGACCACAATAGTTCCCGTCTCTATATATCGGCTCCCCGCCCCACGACCAAAGGTCCAGCTCGTGGTCGTGGTCGGTCAACAACAATTGGACATATTGACGTCGGATACCGTCCTCCCGCTGCTTCAGGAGGGCATCCCGACCGATGAACTTTATGTCTTTCTGTTAAAGACAAAAATGCAATAATGATATCAGCTACTACTCTTTTAGTATTACGCGAATCAAAAACATTGTACCCCTTTTCAAGAAAATTGCGTGGATGGACAAAGATGAACTTTATCACACTTATAAAGAAAGAGTGCAGAAGGTTGATATTTTTTTTTAATTATGCCTTAAAAATTCATTGAATCAATAAAAGAAACATGACACACACTTAAATACGCTTCGTTTATTGTCAAACTTTTGTTATTGTTTAAAGTCTGTGCTCAAATTGAGAATAGATTAATATTGTTTATCTTTCGTAGTCTATTCTTGGCTAAATCTTTGATTATAGAATTATAATATTCTTTGACAATAGAACCATAATAATGTTTAAACTTATAATTTAAATTAATCAGTCAGTTACGATTCAATTCGACTCAACCAATGTACTCACGTCGAATTTAACACGCCACGTGCGTCCACATTCTAGAGGAGTCGTCATCGTATCGAGATCCTGGCCCCAAAAAGCGAAGAACTTTTCGACGCGTAGCGCACGCGACGCATAATAACCGACGTGGCTTATCCCGTACTTCTCACCCACAGTCATCAGGCGATTGTACACGTGGAGAGCAAACTAAAAAACAAACCAATTTCTTTGAGCTCCCGTCTGATTCGTGAGCCTTCTTGATCCAAAATAAACGACGCCACCGCGAGTGCGGTTCCACGGCAGAAAAAGTATGTTACGCCGGTTAGAGTAACGCCCTCTATTGCCGAACAGCAGAAACGAATATCAAACGAACTAGTAACATCGAGAACGCTTGACATGTACAACGCCATCTATTGTCAGATAACGGAAACACACATCGAAACTACTCGACTTGCCCAGAATGTTCTTGATAAATCTAGAGATGTCGTATCGACTATTAAAGCGTTGCAGAGATGGCACGAAATTAGTAATCGGATTTACTCGAAGTGAAACAAGAAGTGAACTATGAATCGTAAAGTGCTCTGTAAGTGTTCTGAGTGTTGAATAGAGGTTTTAATTTGCACTTTTTGGTAAAAAACAGTGTTACCAGCCCACTCACCTCGTTAGGTATATAGAGCACATATCCCAGCTCTCCGGTGTGCGTCAGATTCATCGCCCGTATCCCATTGGCCAGACCGACGTCGATTTCCTTGAACGTGAAGAACGGAAAGTTCGAAGGCGACAGGTCAGTGTCGGTCAGTTCGGAGAGCAAACTCCTCGTGAACGGACCCATGACGCAGATGGCGGTGTACATCGACGTCACGTCGGCGAGGGTCACCGACCCATTGCTGGGCAGGTGTCGCTTCAGCCACACCTTGCAGCGCGTCTGCTGGATCGTCGGAGCTATCATCATGTAACTAAAACGGAACACGGGCATTAAAAAGACAATGCAGACGCGAAAATCATCCGAAGTACCTGCTTATGGGCGCAAACGCCACTATCTATACATATGTATATAAAAATGAATTGCGTTTCGTTAGTCTGGCTATAACTTGAGAATGGCTTGACCGATTTGGCTAATTTTTGTCATGAATTATTTGTAGAAGTCCAAAGAAGACCACAAATGACTGTATAAATAATTGAATATTAATATATTAATATTTTGTTAATTGTTTTGCAGTAATTATATTTGTTTGTATAAAAAAGTTGTAGTTGCTACAATCATCACAAAATGGCTAATTGTGTAAAAACTAAGACGTGGCTTTTTGTAATAAACAAGTAATGTTAACGTTTTATAGAATTGTATTGTATTTTCATTGTAATAAATCTCATGTGTGAAAACCCTGGCGTAACGCCGACATACTCTATCTCATTTTTTTCATGCTAAATCCTATAGATGTCTCTTTTTAGTGTCGCTTTTCAAGTGACATTTCCGTTTCATCGTGTTCCAAGCCACAACAACGCTGACGAGATTTCAACTTGATAAATACATAATCGAAATTTGTTGCAAGACAAAATTAAATACGTCTATCTTTACGTGTGGGTTATCAAACATTAACCTTTTCGATGATTGTAAGAGAAATAAAAAACCCAAATTATTAATTTTGGTTGTTTAAAAATTGACTTCTATTCTTCATTTTTTTCCTACCTAAGCTGATAGCCTTGAAAGGCTATATCAGCGTCGCCTTAACTAATAGGTGAGCTCACGGGGCTCAAACTTGATGACGTTGCTAACACGAACCCTAGCAAGAGCCGTGCTTCGCAGAATCTACCACCGGATCGGAAACGCGACCCACTGAGAAGATCCGGCGAGAAACTCAGTGAGCGGTGTCTGAGGCGGAGTCATAGAACCTTCTCGAGAATTAGTCACGTTGCGAACAAACAATAGTCTCGTTTGAAGAATCGTTATCCCAACATAACTCGAGACATCGAAATGATATTTCAATGTATACGCGGCACCTATGTGGTATGTAACCTAAAGGGCTTGACCTCATCCATCCATTTACGATACAATAAAAACACAGCCTCACTGGTTCTCCGATATCCTAGCCAGGCTGCAGTCATTCTCGTAACCCCCTCGCTCGTTCTGCATCCCAGTGTGAATGATACTCCCGACGGGAACGTCCACGTCGTTCGAACAGAGATACTGCAGGAGTTCCACCACCTCGCGACCTTGAGACTGTTAGGGAAAAAAGATGAGGGGTCTAATCTAGAGCTTTACACTTCTTTGGTGGTCTGGTAACTAAATTATTGCTTACAGTTTATAAAAACATTATAAGATGTATGATAGATACCAAAATTTACGACGAAATTTTATTTTTGAGTTGTAAAATAGTTTACAAAATGTAAAATAGTTAGCAAAATTCCACGCAAATCTTATAGAGTTCGACCGAAGGCAACAATATTACGAGTGACGTCATTTAAGGCCAAAATAAATTACGAGTTAACTGAGATGGATCATATACAAAACTATGTACAAATAACATTGAGTATCATTCAATTATAGTTTTAATTTAAATGAAGATTATCAAAAGTAATATAAATTTTTAGAACTTTCCATATTATTATTATTATTAAAGTCCGGGTGTCTATTGCCATCATAATATGAAATGAAAATTAAACAGACTTAGATATAGGTCATGTGAAGCCGTAATTTATTGTATTTACATTTTAATCGCCATACGAATTGCGATTGCGCATGCACGAGTTCTTATCGTTCTTTTCAGTATTAATTAATAACTTTAGTACTGTATTGCTAAAGTACCTTTCATATTAATTTACGTATTGAAAATGTATTACATATTAAAACGCCTATATAAAAAAAATGCGAAATTGTGATTAGTAAGATGAATTGATTTATTTTTTTCGATTCAATCATGGAAATATCTCTTCAACTGGGGCTTGGCTCATATCGATTTTTTTCATATATTAATCCCAATGATATTCGGATTCAATAAAATGTTCCGCCACTGCATAGGGCCGTAAGCATTTCTTTATAGGGGACAGTACTGTGTATTTATAAAATAGCTAATTTCCCTTATCTTCGAATTTCGAAAAATTCATATGAGAAACTCAAACGTTGTCTTATTTCAAGTGCTTTTATGTGCTATTATGAGTATAAAGTGCGGAGCGTCGGAATACCGATTATTGCGCAATTTTATTATATACAGCGCGCGCACGTATAACGTTTTTAATAAGTTAATAATATTTATAATTATTATTTAAATTATTTTGCTGTGAATTTAGCATTAATTTTTATATTTTAAAGTGAAACTTCTGATACAACAGCAATGATGTTTTTTTTTCCCTACCTAAGCTGAGAGCCTTGAGAGGCTATTTCAGCGTAACCTTAACTAGTAGGTGAGCTCACGGGGCTCAAACCTGACGTCGTTGCTAACACTAACCCTAGCAAGAGCCGTGCTTCGCAGGATCTACCACCGCAATGTTACCTACCTGTATATCTATCTTGGTGAAGGAGGAGTAGTCGGAGAGACCGACCCGCTCCCGGCACGCCCAGTACTCGCGCTGCACCGCGTCGAACCAGGGCGGCTTCCCGAAAGTTCTCGTGTGCGCTATCTTGAACGGACGCGGTTTCTCGCTCTCATTCTCTAATTCGGAAAGACAATTCGATCGTATTCAAGGACCGAAGGCGTCGTCCGTTTTTTATGTTGCACTAACGAGTACATTGATGTAATTTTTTTGTTTGCTTTACATTACGGGTCAAAGATATATTTGAAATGACCAAAACAACAATTACCCGTGATTAGGTTTGCAAAAAAATATCGTTTGTTTACTCTAGGGTCTTCTTTTTTTCCTATTACCTTCTGCTGGGTAGTTGCTAAAAACTTGGTAGTGAGTTTAATGCTGATTAAGTTCAGTAGTTTCAATATACGTTATTTGGTTTTTATAAGGCCATTGTGTACACTAATTATACTTTACCTACGGTCTCGAACCACGTTGGTCTCTCGTAGCCCATGACCTGACCGAAGACTGCTCCGTTGTCTCTCAGCGTCGGGTAGATGGGAGACAAGCGCAAGTTACGACCAGTCTCGAATTCGTAGAACGGATACGGAAGGCCGTAATGAACGCCTATAGATAATGTACAATATCTTTACTATTATTGTCTATTTCACGAACGTAATTAGGTAAAATATTTCACTGTATGGCCATAAAAACTGCAAGCTGTTTCCACGTATTCACAAATGTGTTACTGACTCACTACGGTATTAGCACCCCAACCCCACCCTAATCATTGAACATAATAGTGAATTATAAAGAACTCGAGTTTTTTTATGATTGAAAGATTACTAGTGACCCTTTCTAGTTTCACCAGGGCAGGTGGGCGAGCAAGGGCTGAGCAAGGGCTCAGGCAGGAGAGGTGGAATTAGCTAACAGCTACCTGAGCGCCTCCAAAGGACAACTGAAGAATAGCTGCTTCGCGAATGAATCTACAACCAGATCGGAATCGCGACCCGCTGAGAAGATCCCCAGAAACCCAGCGGGCTACTCGACTTTCCAAAACGGAATAGAAACTATCTGAATTTACTATTATCATACCTAAGATCCTTTTCTAAGATATTAATTTACAAACCTGGAACCTCCTTAACGCGGTCTCTAAGGAATCTCTTGTTGTTGTGCAGTCCAAGGAAACGATTGACGCCCAACTCATGCATATCGTACTTGCTGTAGCCGTCGATGATCTCGTCAACCGTCGCCTCAGCGACGCCACCAGCAGCGGAAATGCCCACAGTCTTCATGCCGGCCGCCACGTGGTAGTTCAACATCTGAAAGCGTCGTTCTGATAGCGAAATCGGAAAAACCACCACCTTCACCGAGCGACTGTTTGAAACTAGAGTATCTGAGATTTCCTCTGGATTTTTAAGATTTATATCATTGGTACTCACACCACGTGGTGGCCTAAAACCCATACGAAGACGACGCAAGATGTGGACCGACACAGTCGAATCCGAAGTCGAATATGGCAGATTAATTATTATACGAAAAATCTTTAACAAAAACTTTGTTTTTTTAACAAAAAAGTTCTTTAAATATACGAGACAAGTAGACTCCGCGCGTCCACGTTGAAAAAGAAAGTACGTGTACATCATAAATGGTATTATAATGTTCCCACAGAGTTGTCGTCTTACAAACAAACAACGAATCAGCAGAAATGTTCGAAACCGTGATGGCCAGAGCGAGACAGAAGCGGAAACAACTAGAATTCCAACTATTAGAGCTTGCAAAAACCATTAGGTATATACTTTATAAAACTAAGCATATTATAAAGAACAATACAATGATGATAATTATTAATATTATTTTAATATTTTCATCGGACAATTGAAGAGATTCTAAATTAAAATGACGCAATTACTACCTGCAGTGCACGACTTTTTTCTACAAGTTTAATTATACATTCCGAAGTGAAAGTAAGATTAAAGCATGTTTTTTCAAAATGAATCATTTCTCTTCATCAATACTACAAAAAATTTGCTTCGTTTTGAAAAATTTCTCACTTCTTTATTATACATCAATTCGGTTTAAATTAAAATAACTATTTTCTGCCGAATAGTATTACGCTTTTTGTAGAAGGTAATAGGTATATTTAGGTTTTTTTACCTTTGTGTTCTGTAGCGATTATCATTAATTATTTATCAAATGTTCTATATTAGCAGCCGCGACATATTCTAACCAAAACTATGCTTTCTGATGTGTACAATTTGCCAATAATCCTTAATAATAATTATCCAATTACTATATACAACATTTAACTTATAAACTATGTAAGTATTTATGTTATAATTTTTTTTTCCAATTAGTATGAGATATCATTTTCGATGCTTAACGGCGAAACACACGGCGAAGATACTATAATATTTTATCTTAACATACAATATCGCTCGCTATATATTTTGTATGAACTATCAAATATATTTATTATCTTAACCATGCGTGATAGTTCATACAAAATGTATTGCGAACGATATTGTATGTTAATATAGAATATTATAGTATCTCCGGCGTGCGTTACGCCTTTTACATTCAGATCAAAGTATACAGTGAAAATTGCAGAGACAACATACAAACAATTTTTTTAAGGGTTTCTTAGATTTCGCCAAGTCTTTTGCACGATGCAAACTGACTGACTTGGTGGTACAGAAGCTAGCTCCCTTAACTATTGCGCCGAGAGTCATGAGTTCCGTTCCCACATCGGGCAAACATTCGTGTGATGAACAGGTTTGATTGCTCTTTGCCTGGGCGTTGTTTATATATACTAATATATAAATCTAAAATGGTTTTTACGGATGTTCCGTTACAACTACTGAATCGTCCATCCGATTGACTTGAAACTTGATATCCATGTAGAAAATATATGTACTTAATGGATAGGCTAATATTTATATGAGTGTTGGAGTCCCTACACCAGTTGCGGGGGCGTTAATCATGAGAATCTTTGTGGGGGTGAGAAATAATAATGTTAATTTTAAATGCCCAGCGAAGCGGACGGGTACAGCTAGTGTATGTATACATTTAAACGTATATTAATATGTTAGTCGGTTTCTGGTAGCCATAACACAGGGAACCCTAGATTGGGGTCGGATAACGGTGCGTGATTTGCTCCCAATAACTTACTATTCATTTATTTAAATTGCTTTCCTTCAACAATGTAAGCGTCATCTAAAACGTGTTACAACGAGAAATCCAAAGGGATTTTGTTGCACTGAACTTAATTTCTATTTTAAGATTCTTTTGTGTAAATCTGATTCATAAGCCTTCGTGTGTTTTTTTATTTTTTATTGCATAGATGGTTGGGACGAGCTCACAGCCAACCTGGTGTTAAGTGGTTACTGGAGCCCATAGACATCTACAACGTAAATACCGCCACCCACCTTGAGATATGAGTTCTAAGGTCTCAGTATAGTAACAACGGCTGCCCCACCCTCCAAACCGAAACGCATTACTGCTTCACGGCAAAAATAGGCCAGAGTGGTGGTACCTACCCGTGCGGACTCACAAGAGCTCCTACCACTAGTAAAAAACCGTGTACTATGATATTAGCGTTATTTTATTAAACAGCCTACTAGAACCTATTAAAACGATGTTTAAAATAAATAAATATAGATCAAAAAGGGTTTTTTTGCTATTTTATCAATAGTTTTTTTTTATTCATCAAGTCTTGTTGTTAAGTTAAATTTCAGACACGCCCATACATTTTCCTAAGCCGCTGTTCAAGCTTGAGCTGGACTCGAAGATGCGCGAGCGCATAGTTGGTAAGCGCACAAGAAAATTAACTTCTATGATTTGAGAGAAGATTTTCTTAAGGGTAGTTTTCCATTTTGCTGTTTCGCTCTTCTTAGATCCTTAATCCTTGAACCGTACATGCGTTAAATGGGGGACACGTTCGGGCTTCTTCGGAAATCAATTCTAAGCGTTTAATGTCAAACGAAAAACTATATTAGATGGTTCTTGCTAGAAATACACCCGTCTTCAACCGTAGCTCTCCGTGGTTGCTGGTGAATGTTCCGACGATGTTTTGCCGGTGCCTTTGATATGCCCGAAAGACCGAATTTAGCATTAATAAAGCTAAAATTCGGAATTTCGGGCCATCAACGGCACTATTCGTCTTCATACTCGATCTTGGACTTTGGACTTCTATCTCTTCTAAGTATTTATTTAAATTAAAGAAAAGGTTGCCGCTTGTCTACAAATAAAATGGAACTTAACAACCAAAAAACTGTTTTAAACATCAAGTGGATGCGCTTTTTGGTTCAATTAAGCCTCGTTTCATTCGAAAACACTTCGAAGCCCGTTTTCATACCGAATAATTTTACAAAGTAAAGTAATAAAAGTTATGCACAGACTTATATTTAGTTTTAATATTTCTTGTTCAGTTACAAAAAAAAACCTACATTGTGATAAAACGATTTCGATTTCTTTTGACGATAATCAAGAAGGGAAAATTTCTATTCAATATCTTATTTTATTTGTTGTCAAAATATTTTGTAATTTTTTAAACAATACCACGTTACATTTAAAAATTTCAAATCTGACAAAAAGCTAGTACAATTATGTAGTTTAAAAGACACAACGGGTTTTTTTTGCTGTCCCTCTATCAAACTATTCTCACGATTGGGGGGTTTTATTCATCGTATTTTGAAGGAATGCTTTGCCGTGAGAATAAATGCAGGGATATCTATCAAGCTATAAGTTTTTAAGGCGTCGTCGCCTAAAGGAGAAAACGTATTCGTATCGAGCGATGCGACTGTGTTGGTTGGTGTTCGAATCCCACATTCCATAGCTACCAATTTCTCTATTAAAATACCCACCTAGTGACCTAAGTACCTACTACCTAACAAATAGTCACGAACGACTTCCGCGGTGAAGGAACAACATCACCGCGTAATAAAAATCAAGTCCGTAAATATTAGAATTTGCGTAATTACTGGTGGTAGGGCTTCAAGTGAGGCTCACACGGGTAGGTACCAGCACCCTGCCTATTTCTGCCACGGGGCGGCCGTTGTAACTACAAAACTGAGAGTTATGTCTGATGAGGAGTGACGGTATTTACATTGTGGATGCTTATGAGCTCCGGTAACCACTAAGCGCCAGGTGGGCCGTGAGCTTGTCCACCCATCTAAACAATAAAAATAATTTCGATTCGAAATTTCAAATCGATTTAACGAGTGGAATATTGAAGGTAAAGTATCTAGTACTTCAAGGACGAGATAATGTAAGCTCTGCCTAACATTATTGGCAACACCAGAATCTGGGCGGATCAAGCTGGAAGATCTTTAAGCGTTGACAAATATTTGAGAGCCCCATGCTAATCGAGACCTAGCTTGTGACGTCACACATTACGTGACGTTTTCATGGACATTAGATGGGTTACATTTTAGAGAGTAACCTGTACTTATATCTCGTGGCTTAGGGGTGTTCATTTTACATGACTTATCATTTTAGGGTACTCATAATGTATATTTGTTTAAAATTTTCCTGTCGATATTTTTAGGGCAGCGGTCGAGGAACCGGGGTAAATTACCCCAAATGGGGTAAAATGAAAGTTTGGGGGGTAAAAATGAAACTTTTGTGAGTAAAAAGTATATAATATTGAAGTGAAACTTCTTTAGAATCGTTAAATTTTTAGTTATTGTTTTCTTTTCAGAATTATCACGGGGGCTTATAATATGAAAGATACGAAAAAGAAGCAATTTAGTTTTTTTTTGTTCTTCCCCATGGAGTAATATCAACTTACACAAAAGTATTTTGGGGTAATAATTTAAAAAGTTCATCGACCGCTGTTATAGGGAAAGCTAAAATATACTAACTAAGCACTTACCTCTGGTGCTTCTCCGACGATCCACTTGCAGTCAGGAGAGAATGCCTCTAGTCCGTTGCACAGCTTGTGGAGCACGGCCTGGTTCAGACCGGGCACCCGTTGCAGCAACTCCTGCAGCAACACGTGGAAGTGATCCCAGTCTTCGGGCAAACAACGTTGTGACGCGTTCTCGACTAATTAAGGAAGTAAGGAAAAATAAAATTAAAAGGGATTCTTGAAAGTAAAATTGAAATTTCTAGGAATTAGGGATTAAAAAAAACTGGGATACCTTTATTTTGGGAAAATACAAGAGTGATGGGACATGAATAATATATAAGACATACATAATCTTACAATAAAACATATTTAACTTACATTAATTAACTACAACATTTACTATCTGTGTTATTATTGGAAAAGCATATTTTTATAGCCAGGAAGGGGTAAGGGTATTTTCTCTTTATTTATTATAATAAACAAAAACATCATCTTAAACATACTTTCTTCTTCATAAACAGGTTTCGCAATTGGTTCGAATCCACCTGCTAAAATGCATCCATCTCTTTCTCGAAGATATATATAACCATCTGGGTCTCGGATGACTGAAAAATATATAAGATGAATCCAGTATGTACATTAACTTAATAATAAGCTATTTAAGATTTAATGTTTGATATTTTCTACTACTGTTCAAATTATATTTTACCTGGAGTCTTTGGATCAAGATTATCAATGGGCTTGGTATGCAGATAGTAATGTTCACATGGTAGTAAGGGTACCTTCACCTGCGGTCGTGCCAACTGTCCGACCTGGTTACAAAAAAAACAATTTATTTCAATTGTTGACATCTAAATATGAATTATTGCACTGTTTCACCACCTACCTGTCTAGCCCAAAAGCCCGCACAGTTGATAAAGTAATCACACTCGATTGCACCATTTGTAGTTTCCACTCCAGACACTTTGTCGTCTTTCGATAGCACAGCTGTCACGGAACAATCTTCCATCACACCCACACCTAAAATTAAACTTTTCTAAAGTACGTACATAAATTTCAATATTCAAATAACTATTCATATTTAATTCCATAAAAATTATAAAAAAATGTTTACTCACCTTTATCAGTTGCTTCTCTCATAAGAGACATACAGAGCAAATGCGGGTCTCCTACACCATCACCTGGAATCCACAGGCCTCCAAGCACATCTTCAACATTCAGCATTGGAAATAATTCATGACATTTCTTTGGTGTAACTAAGTCACAATCTATGCTCCACGATCTATAGGCAGGTTTAATAAATTGATTCATGTAGGTAGATAACAAAGGCTTGTAGTATACATTAAACTGTACTTACACAGACTGACTTTTCATTCTTCTGTAAACAGTCATGCGGTCTCTTGTTCTTGCCAATAATAGTGAACCACATTGTTTCCACCCTGTGGGCCTACCACGAGCCTCAAGCTCCTTAAGAAGCCTAATTGAGGACTGGGCAAGCCTCACCTGAGCAAGAGTTGGCTTGAATGCTCCAACAAGGCCTGATGAATGCCAGCGACTCCCTGCACCCACTCTAAAACAATATAAAACAATATTTAATAACTGTCACTTGTGTATAACAAACTTAAAAATGTGTAGTATAAAAATCAATATAATGTTGCATTGACCACACCCATCCTCATATTTTTTAAAGTGGAAGACCAGAAAATACATGGATAACATAATGTTTTTGAGGTATACTAAAGAAAAAAATTCTAGGAATTTTAAATAAAAAAAAAAAAACTCAACAAAGAACAAAAAAGTGGGTAATTGGAGGATATGAGAAAGGTCTTAAAAAGGTTTTTTAAAATCAATCCCAAGCTTTTCTATATATCTTATGACAAAATTAAACAAAGTTGAGCAAAAATCAATAATTGGAGACTAAAAAGGGCGGAGATACGACATAAATGAAAAAATAACGAAAATCTTTACTTACCTTCACAATATAAGAAGATTAAACTAAATTAAAATACTTTAAAATAATCTACTATTTCACTTTGAAATTTAGAACTCAAGTGTTAAACTAAAATGTGGAGAGGACCTCCAGCCATGGAGGCTGAAGCCCTTCTGAGCTTTGCCTGCATATTTATTGATCTACTGCATCATAGGAAGCTAGGCTAGCTATATCTAATTACTTCCTAGGTTATTGAACTGAAGCTGCGCGGACATGGAATCCGCAAGCGACTGGCTAGGTTCAGAGGGAGATGCATAGGTACTTACTTTTCTTTCTCGACGACTACGGTTCTGTCACCCCACCCCCGGTTGGCCAGGTGGTACGCGACAGCCGCCCCCATTACACCCCCGCCGCATATTACCACCTTTGCTTTGGATGGTAGTACTGACAAGCAATCTTCTAATTTTTCTTCGTAGTCCAATGCATCTAAGCGGCTCGAAAACCGCCTATTGAGGACACCGGCAACTCTATACAAATTACACTTGTCAATGCCACCTTTCAGACAGCCTCCCAACATGTTTTTTTTTAGTTGCAATATATTATACAACCCTTATTCACGAGAGTACATGGAAAAATAAGTAAAATTTCTAAAAATATCCGCAAAAAGTAAAATAAATGACATTTGTTTTGACTTTAAGCTGACAAAGGTAGACATTGTATTGCCAGAACAAAATTTTACAAAGCTGTGATATTGATTATCCGAAGGAGTACGAACAAGCCCGACCAATGATAGAACGCTGAAATAGCGCTAAATTCAAAAACGTTAACGCCCTATATGTTAGTATTACAATAATTTAAAGTATATATATTTTTATCAGAGAATCTATGTTTCTGTTTTATATTGCTTGATTTCAGCTATCTATGACAAAAAGGTTAAATTCACTCTTAACTCAAATTCCGTATAAATTTCGTAACGAGCACCATAAGTTATAACTACTACAAGACAGTTTCTATGACGACGCAAAATAGTTTTGTTGATTAACTTCCCCAGTCAGAGGTTTTTATAGATTATTTCTATATTTTAGTATGTCCTTGGTAGAAATAGTACACCATAACGAAGTTATTTATACAATCCTCGATAAGCCTCCGCCTGAGCCTCCAAAGACACCCAGGTAGTTTACAAGTTGTTATTACTTATGTTGCTTAAAACATTAAGTTGCTGATAATTACAGCCGATTCTAGATGAAATCTTTTTACTCGTCTTTTTACTCGAAGTATGCTAGGTTCACAAGCCCCCATGTAGATAATATGGTTAAAACTCCAACCTCATTTTTCCATATTATTTCTGGGATTTCTATTCTGGGGTTTGCTGATGCCCCGAAGGCTTTTCAGCCACCTAGCTTCTCCGGCGAACACGGGGCTTCAGCCGAGAGGAGGTTGCTAACAATTATTCGACTGCCTCCGAGGGAGGCCTAATAGCTTAGAGACAGCTGGTACGCGAATACATCTTCCTTCGAGTCAGAGTCGAATTAGAACTAGTAGAATTCAATAACGCATAATAGATTAGATAAATCCACCAGGACTGATTGGTATTTAGACATTACTTACTGTCTACTGTTTCTTGCATTATTGTCGTTATCTCATTAAATACAGGAAATAGACTGAATCGCAAAACTAATCGGGCCATAATAATATCGTTTTTAATTTTTTTTGATCTATGAAATGTAGGTATTTGTTTGTCGTTCTTTGATGCACAAAACAACTGCACCTTCAAAAGCCTTATGAAAATTTACAGTTTTTCATTACCGGAAAATGACACGTCTTTTAGTAGGTAAATTAAAAAGGATTTTATGTGAATTTTTATACTTTTCGAATGTACGTACTTCAAGCCACGTAATAGCTTAACTTTGCATTTGACATTTTTTTGATTTTACATTTTCCATTAAGCTCAACCGATCTGAAATTAAAACTAGTAAAATTGAGCCGTTTCAGTTTGATAGTGATCAATTGTGACAGAGTTCGAAATGACGATTTATGCAAGTTTTTTGTCAAAAGCATCGTAACAATAAAATGAAAATTGCTTAAGTTAGGCCGTTTTGTGAGTCCCCACTGATTGGTATATTTATCCCACAATATTGCAAAAAGGTTGCACGTTTCAGTTCGAAGTTTAGGATATCGGTTGTTCCAATACTATTGAAACCGTTGCATCCTTGACGTTCTACTTATGGTATGACGTATTGTAAGTCCGGCGAATAGGAACCACCATCTTGCCTATTCAGGGCATACGATCTGGATTGAAAGGCGGAACAACTTTTATACATTATAAATGAGACTTTAATCTCATGTATGCAAGCGGTTCTCGGTATTCATTTTATGATATCTTTAGACTCCAATTACTACATATTACTCGTTAAGCTGTTTCAGAGCATTTCTATAGAGAATTAAATAAATAAACACTGACATTTCCCAAGAGAATAAGCTGTGAATCGAACCATAACTAACAACGGATCCTGAAATGCACAAGTATAGCTACACTTAACGTCTAGCCGCTTTTTAAACATAACTATATTAGGTATATGAGGCGTCTCGCCAAACCCCGAATTAACTAGGGGGCGGCTGCCATGGTAACGTCTAGAAAGATACCTGGGGATGAAATCAATATAGCAACGGCGACGCTCGGCCCGGGAAACCATCACCGATCGTCGGGATCAATAAATCTGGGGTGGCGAGACGTGTCGCCCCGACAGAACGATTCTATACATAACAACAAGCTATATGACGATGGGTGTGGTCGAGAACAAAGAAATCGTGCTCGTTAAAAAATTAGACCTATCTGAATTTTGAATGGTTTTGTTTTGACGTGCTTAAAGCACGATCTCGTGGTATTTTAAAGCGGTTTATGTTTGGCGGTTCATGGAAAGTTTTATGTTTTAATATAAACAGTTGTAACCCCGTTTGGCATTAAAATTTGCATCACTTTGTTGACTCGTTGCAGCTTATGTTAAAATTTGTTTAGTTAAAATATTTCTACACATAAATAAACTGTAGGAATATGTAGTTTGTAACGATGTTTTTTTTAATGATCCGTAGGCAAATTAAATTTAAGTAAATCGTACTTTACTGTATGCCTTTGTCTCAAAAAATTTACTTTGTAACTCCAATAATATAAATCGGATCATAGACGGTACTTAAATATTTTTTGCGAACCGCTGTAACGAGCAGAAAAAAAGCTACATTTTTATAATTAAAAAATACGTTATTGTTTAATGATAATTTATAATAAAATAAACTAAAGATTAATTATTAAAAAAGAGTTATTATTATATAAGAGTTACAGTTATTTAAAAAAGTAAGTAAAAATAATCTAGCCTTGACTCCGGGAACACTTTGGAAGGATTTTCATTTCTGCTTTTCTGGTTTCATGATTAAATGGTATCATGGTTCGATGATGGACAATGTTCTAGAAATCGTAGCAGTAGATATACCTAGGCGACTTTAGTTCGAGGGAAAGTAATTAATTAAGCTTCATTTGTGGAATGGCGATGATAACATCATGATTATTTCCACGAAGCACGAATTACAAAAAAAGCATAACGCACTAGGTACACTGCGAGGGACTTTTTTAATTGAAAAGAGTTGCTTACATTATTGAAAGCTTATTACTTATTAAATAAAGTTTATTGCTCTTAATCTATTATCCTTTGTGTGACATAATAATTCTTTTATTTCAAATTGTAGAAATAATCATTTCTTATGATGACTATTAAATTAATATTTTACGCTACCAGGTACGAATCAAAATTAGAGAAAGAGTTAAAAGAGACAAAGAAACCGAAGCTCCGTCGTACGTTCGGCTATGCTGAGACTCCGGTTAAGCCTCCAGAACAATTCCTCAAAAAGGGAGAAGGCATTGGGCAGCCTGTTAAATGCACAGATCACCAGTGCGTCGGTGGCAATCTTCCTCCCGTGCCGAGAAGACCGCCACCCGGGAAAAAAGAGGAGAAACCACAGAAGAACTTCAAAATTCTGAATATTAAGAAAGCTATAAAAACTAAAGCCAAACCGGTGGAGCCACGGTGCGTAATTGTTGGTAACTAAATTAACAATTGCTCCTAATGTGGTGTACATATTTTGTAACTATTCCTAGAATTATCAGGGCTGGCGCCATCACATTCTCATCTACACCTTATCCGAAGAGAGCACAAATCTCCATAAAGCACGAATACTCTGAAAATTTACTTTAGTCTTAAAAGTGATTTTAACGAATGTATTACAAATGAAATAAAAAGTTTAACCTCTAGCCTGTGTTAAAGGTACAGTTTAAAAATAGCTTTTCCGGCCTTTAAAAGCGCGAAAGTAAAAATAATAATTTTGTGCTTCCATCGACTTTTTTTTTTCATAACTTGTAAATGTATTTACATTGTACTTGGTGCTATGTATAACATGTAATGAATACCAAAGACATACGACACTCACATGACGGTTGGTCCGTCAGCTCAAAGTCGCTCAGCGAGCCATGGAAAGAGCCATGCTCGGAGTTTCTCTGAAGGATAAAATCCGAAATGAGATTATTTGACAAAGAACTAAAGTCATCGACATAGCTCAAAGAGTCAGCAAGCTGAAGTGGCAGTGGGCTGGCCATATATGCCGTAGGACTGACGATCGCTGGAGCAGACTGGTGCTCGAGTGGAGACCGCGCAGCGGAAAACGTAACGTTCCCACGCCCCCTGGCTAGATGGTGCGATGACCTCCGCACGGTGGCCGGCAAGAAGTGGATGAGGAGAGCCGCAGACCGGGCTCACTGGTGTAGATTGGGAGAGGCCTATGTCCAGCAGTGGACGACTGTGGGCTGTTGATGATGATGATGACGATACACGGAAATTCTGAAACGGCTAAGAATAATTCTCAGTTTTAAGTAGAATTTATACACGGTTCAACTTTGCAAGTGGAGCCGCAAACCTACATAGTTGGTAGGTAACATATTTTTTTTTACCTCGCATAGACAGGTGAACGCGCCCTCTGTCCAGGTGTTAAATGATTAGCGGAAGCTATAAACTATATATCACATGAATGCCGAAGTCAATGTTTAAGTTGTATTTTATAAGGGCATTGCAAAATTATATGTTTTTCCCGTTTTTATTTTTCTTTAGTCTTGCGATTTTAATCTTTAATCATGGAGGTCGTTCGAGAAACTGTTTTTAAGGACGAATTTCCTTGGAAAAATTAGTACACATTAGTAACATTACTTTCGGCATTTTGATATCGGCATAGGCCATACACGAGTATACTCGGTATTTTATCCTTTACGCCACGACGATTAGAACAGGCTTTCGATTGGTATTCACACATTATGTTCAGTTAGAAACATAGCAAATTTAAAAAACAATAGATTTAATGGCCTCTGGTGCTACTTTTTCCTTAAATCAAAATTCGCTAAAACAGATAAACCTTACTATAGAAGGGATTCAGCAAATTGCTACAACCCTTATTGATTATTATTGCTCCAATTTTATAGCAGTGATAAACATAAGGAATCTGAAGCCCTTAATCGAGACACCCCTTGTTGTTGCATGCAGTTTTTACTGCCTATTAATATACCAGAGTTGGCTAAAAGATGTTTTACCGGAGTAGCCTATTATCCAACATTTTTCACTTAAAAATGGTAATACTATTGTATTTTGATTTATTTCAATAACCATGTGTTCATTTTCTGGAAGATTAATACGCTTCTATAATTTCTATTCAACAGGCTAGTTGACACGAGAGATGGGCACATCAAGAAAATTAAGGGTTCAGGGGAAGTCCCCGAGTATTGCCTCAGACCGGATTTTGGTCGAGTTCCAGAATATTTAGTAAGGCGTAATAGAAAAATCCAGAAGGCTCTCGAAGAGATCAGGCTCGCTGATCAGAACAAGGAGAGCTTGTGCAAGCTTATCAGCGAGGAGGAAAGGCAGAAGCTGTTGAAGGTATCGTAATAGAATGTTACTTCATCGATCAAAAGAGCAAGAGGCTTAAATAGAACCGCCATTGATATTCGGTTTGCAATAATTCAGTGTCTATGGTAAACCGCATTAAATAATAATTAGAAAACAGAAAAACATAATATTACTGAGTTAAATCATAAAGTCATCGATAAGATTTCAGATTAAAAAACTTCTCCGCGAGGTTAGCCATGACAGCAGTATATAAGATATAACAGTATTTTAAAGTCGTCGTGGCTTAAAGGATAAGACGTTCGGTGCATTTCTATCTAGCGATGCAACGGTGTTCAAATTCCGCAGGCGGGTACCAATTTTGCTAATGAAATACCTACGTACATAACACATGTTAACGATTGACTTCCACGATGTAAGAATAACATCGTGTAATAAAAATCAAACCCGCAAAATTATAATTTGCGTAGTTATTGGTGGTAGGACCTCTTGTGAGTCCGCACGGGTAGGTACCACCACCCTGCCTATTTCTGCCGTGAAGCAGCAATGCGTTTCGGTTTGAAGGGCGGGGCAGCCGTTGTAACTTAGAACTCATGTCTCAAGGTGGGTGGCGCATTTACATTGTAGATGCTTATGGGCTCCGGTAACCACTTGAAATCAGGTGGGCCGTGAGATCGTCCACGCATCAATTTTTTTTTATACCTCAACAACATTTTGTTATAATACCCAACAGACCAATCAATCTCGTTAAGGAATGGTGTGCGCCAGAATTAAGATGACTCACGAACAATTTTCGTGAGGGAGTCAAAAATACAAAAGCCTCACTGGCAGTACGCCCTAAGACGGCACCGTGGCCCAGTCTATTTTTACCACGAAGTAGGTGTAGCGGTTCGAAGGGTAGGACTATCGTTATACCTCACACAAATGAGAATTTAACCATGGTCTCTAAATAGCCGTAAAATTAACTAAGTCTTGCTTTTGGGATTTTATAAATACGAGCACAAAATAGCATAACAGTCGATAAATAAACATTCGTTTTACTAAAACACAGTGAACGGTAATATAGGTAAAATTCAGTTCAGAAGTACATACTGGTGGTAGGACCTCTTGTGAGTCCGCACGGGTAGGTACCACCGCCTCGCCTATTTCTGCCGTGAAGCAATAATGCGTTTCGGTTTGAAGGGTGGGGCAGCCGTTGTAACTATACTGAGATCTTAGAACTTATATCTCAAGGTGTGTGGCGCATTTACGCTGTAGGTGTCTATGGGCTCCAGTAACCACTTAACACCAGGTGGTCTGTGAGCTCGTCCACACATCTAAGCAATAAATAAAAAAAATACATACTTTCAAAACAGTAAGCTGTAAATATGTGCATATACATTGCACGTTGTTTGTTCTGCATCCTTTATTGAAACTCTACACCGAAAACTTGGGCGTTCTTTACTGAGAATTACTCTCGCTTGTTCCAGTAACGACACTAATGATAACAAGTAGTGATGACTTTATATTTTCATATGCACTCGCTTATCTTGATGGTATTTTTCTTCATTAAATATCTAATGTGTATATAAATCGAATTTATTGTTATTTAAAACCGTGACGACCAAGACAATCCTAACCAAAATTAAGACCTGACAAGGACGTTTTTACTCATTTTCGTGTTGTAGTGTTAATGTACCTAAATGTTAATAAATTAAAATTTCTTTGTGGGATAGTCGCAGTTTCTTTGCTGCTTAACTAGGCTGGAAATATACTTAAAGCGAATAGGTACCACTACGAATTGCATTAAAGTTTTGAGATTATCCACATTATGAAAATTCTATAATATTATAATTTAACGGGTTCTTACCTCGGTATATACAAATCGTGTACACTATATTAGTGACACAAAGAGGAAGCGGCAAAAACGGACTAAAAAGATGGTAGACATACATACATATCGAGAGGTGAAAACCTATTTGGTTTAAGCGACATTTCGCTTAATACGCGACATATATTTTTGTAACTAAAGATGCGTTTTATTTTGCAATAACATCAATAGTCCGATGTTTTAAATTATTTCTGCCGTGAAGCAGTAATGCGTTTCGGTTTGAAGGGTGGGGCAGCCGTTGTAACTATACTTGAGATCTTAGAACTTATATCTCAAGGTGGGTGGCGCATTTACGTTGTGAATGTCTATGGGCTCCAGTAACCACTTAACACCAAGTGGGCTGTGAGCTCGTCCACCCATCTAAGCATTAAAAAATTAAAAAACATAAAAACTTCAATTAAGTTTGCTTCACTCAATTAGCTGAAGAAGTTTTTTTTTCATGATATTTATCCAAATTTTATACTTTAAATGGCTCTCCTGGAAAGTTTTAAAAATGTCGATATAATATGTATATGTCTGTTCCTCACATTCTACCTTCAGTCTGTCCGTGTTTATGGTTTCTTTCAATATTGATATATTCGGAATTTAGAAGAGCTAAAAATTGTTGCTAGAACCAATTGAATGAATACCTACCTATAGTATTTGTATTATAATAAAAACTAATTTCTGTTCCGAAACACGAGTTCGAACATAAGACTTGATGGTATTATTACGGCTGTCCAACACTGACCTCTTGACAATTTATGGGAAGGCGATGAAAATTTATAGATTATATTTAATTGTCAACGGCAACTGTCAGATGGAGAACAATCATACAAGAGAGATTGATGCAGCGAGAGAGTCACGACCCTCAGTAATGAAGAGAACGACGCAAGGATGAGGTCAACGGCAAAGATTGTTGCGTTTCGGACCTCTTTCAAGTCTGCCAGAATTTTGTATATTATGTATTTTGTATACTATCTATATCTATAAATACTGATATACAAATCTACAGTGGTTTTTACGGATGTTCCGTTATAACTACTGAACCATGCATCCGATTGACTTTAAGCTTGGTATCCATGCTAAAAATACATGTACTTAATGGATAGGCTAATATTTATATGATTGTTGGACTCCCTAATAATAAAGACAGTAAATAATCAGGTTAATTCTAAATGTGCAGTGAAGCGGGCGGGTTCAGCTAGTATTATATATTTTTTAATGATCGACTGCCAACGAAAAAATACGACGTGATAAGAGTGCACCCTTTATTTATTTATTCACTATTTATTATTGTTCAGGATTTGAAGAACAACTGGGAGTTGATGCAAAAAGCGTTTCTTCAGTTGCCGATGCTGACCGATACGATACCGAAAATTTTACGCAAAACAAAAATGGAACAAGAACTCAAGCAGCTCGAGAAAGACATCGCTTTGGTCGAGAGCAATCCTTATATCTACATTTACGAGTGAATACAATTTTTAATAAAAAAAAAATTAGAAATAAATAAAAAAGCTGCGCATCTGATTTATTTTAACACCTTCAATCATGCCACAAACGTAGAGTGTGATTCTGAGATCTGCTTGCGTAAGTACGAATGTCCTACTTGTTTCTTCCGCGAATCAGCCGAGTATTCAGGATCGAAGGGTGGGGCAGACGTTAATAAATAAAAATTTCAAACTTTGGTACCATAAGTATGACCACGAAAACTGTAAAGTATTCTACGCGTTTGAAATAATGTATTAACAACAACACGAGATATAGTCGTAATTGAAATTTTAATTGAGGTACCTATTTGAAGTTTTTATAGCATTCGTTTTGTGATATCTATGAGCCCCGGTAACGACCAAGATCGCGTGGGCAGTGGGCTCGTCTGCTCGTTTTAAATAATTTCGTCCAGTGATTGAAATTCCTAAATAACCAAATAATAAAAATATTATATATAGAAAATAGTAATAGTTTTATTTTTCAACAGGTATTTGTAGACTACACAATCGGTTTTAATATATTCGAGCTAGGCTATCATACCTCTAAGTAATGAGTATCATGCAGCCACACCCTAGACGCACGCAATGGATATTTCTAGAACTCAAACAGACCAACGCCCATAGTATTGATCGCAATACATTGTTGCAATTTGATGCTAGAAAACCTGATGGATGTTTGGAACCTGAAACCTGTAGGTAGTTGTTCCTTAAGAAATTAATATCTCTAGCCACACACCACTAGGTAGTTTCAATAGGAGTTGGATAGCTAAAAAATACCAATTAGCAATATAGAAATTGCTATAAAAAGAATACGAATGTGATTGAATTAACTTATTTGTTAAGAGAATACCAATAACGTTTCTCACATTCACTCAAGTCGTCGATATGATTAGGTACCTACTGACTAATTCTACTAAGGTAATCACAAAAACCGTAAATAATTAAAAATATCCGAAGCAGTAATATAATTACTGGTGGTAGGACCTCTTGTGAGTCCGCACGGGTAGATACCACCACCCCGCCTATTTCTGCCGTGAAGCAGTAATGCGTCTCAGTTTAAAGTGCAGGGCAGCCGTTGTAATCATACTGAGACCTTAGAACTTTATCTCAAGGTGAGAGGTTATTTATGTTGTAGATGTCTATGGGCTCCAGTAACCACTTAACACCAGGTGGGCTGTGAGCTAGTCCACCCATCTACGAACAAGAAAACCATAAACACTACGTTCTAAATGAAACCGTAATATCCTGAAATACCTTTCACTTAGACCTTAAGCTGTGAAACGGTGATGGCATCGAAATCAAATTTCCACTTCAATCGCTTTTCCATCAGCCTAGCAGTCTGTAATTCTACGCGAGGCTAATTTAAGTTTTAATCATGTGCTCGATGAATATATGTACATAAGCATACTAGATACGTTGATGGAACACTCCAGACGTTTTCAATCTACCTACGCTCACAACAGTAGGTGCTATTTCGCGTATGCGCACAAAGTATTTCCCCTGTGGGGGACGATGAAACGTCAATACTCGCAGTCTATCTGCGATTCTCAAATTGAGTATTAAGGAAACCTAGTAGTTTTTTTTTTAATTTATAGCTTACATAAGTAGACTAGTTCACAGCCCACCTGGTTTTAAGTGGTTACTGGAGCCCATAGAGATCTACAACGTAACTGCGCCACCCACTTTGAGGTACAAGTTCTACGGTCTCAAGTAGTCACAGTTAGGAGATGCGAACAAAAAACAAAACGCATGGTTACACTATAAGTAATTAGGGAATTTGGTGATGGGAATAAGTTAGAATACGTTTTGAGCGTTATTCTCTTTGATCTCTCATACTATAGAAAGTTTCCACGTAAATCTTAGATACTACGCCCTTAAGTACGACTCTGCTCAGAACAATTTACATAGACGTCATACCATCTACAACGCAAATGCCGCCACCCACATTGAGATATGAATTCTAAGGTATCAGTACAGCCACTTTTATAGTTATAATTAAGTTTGATCTTTTTTTGCCTAGCTATTCGCTGGTAGCCTATTATAAGGCTATTGAGCTTCGCACGGACGGGTGTATCTTGTACTATCTGTGTTCAACAAAACAGCTATGTTTTATTGCAATCGTTACATCGCGTCACGTTCATCCCATTTGGTCTTTACTGGTAATCCTAGAAGAACAGCGGTCCCGTTTAGGACTCTATTCAAACCTTGTTTTAAGAATGACATGCGTAGCCTCTCCGTGTAGTAGAATAAGATAGCTCAATTGATTCCAAGTACTCTTCACAATCCAGGACTGATACAAGTATCACTATCGATCACGAGACTTCAAAATCTGCCAAAATCTGCATTATCATGCGCATCCATCCATGCATTTCTATGTTCGATGGCTATGTGGGTACATTCTCAAACAAATTTCACCTTGAAGGAACATCGTTTTCTTTCCCCTACCTATGCTGATAGTCTTGAGAGGCTATTTCAGCTTCACCCTAACGTTTGTAGGTGAGCTCACGGAGCTCAAACCGGAGTTTCTAACACTGACCCTAGCAAGAGCAGTGCTTCGCAGAATCTACCACCGGATCGTAAACGCGACTCACTGTGAAGATCCGGCGAGATACTCTGGGCTGTGTCTATGGGTTAATTCGCTCGTCCCTTCGTCGCAAGCGACGGATTCGACGAGGACGGTGACCGGTGCTTGTGGTGCCTAAAAGCACCGTTACTGGATCGGGAGGATCCGTAATGACGTGCTTTGGGCGACGTCGACTGTTTACCATTCGAGAACATCTGTAAATGGAAGAATAAAAGAAGGGTCAACCCTTATTTTGACAGCTTTTCAAAGTCTGCTAAGTACCAGTGTCGTCAATTTATAATTTTATATATTTATAAAGAATCTATCTAGGTCGTGACGTACACTGGTGTATTTAATCAGATCGTTGTAATAGCAAATGATAAAAGCCATCATACGCATTGCAAAATTCACGGTTGCCCGTAAACCAGCCAAGAACCCTCTTATTTTGTTTCAGGTTAATGGCGAAAGAAATGCCAGCTACTCCATTTACAACCGTACTTTATCAATAAAGCAGAACTGAGCCACGGCTATTATTTCATTATTACATTTCATTCAGTTTATTTTACAGTCTGATCACGCAACGGGATATATAAGTACACAGGGTAGAGGCGATGTTCTTTTATAAAGTCAGTTTCAAACGCCGTGGACAAAACAAAAGAGGTTGTTTGGCTGGCGTACGGGCAACTGTGAATTTTGCAATATGTTTATGATGGCTTTTATCATTTGCTATCACAACATTCTGATTAAATACATCAGTTTACGTCACGAAATAGATGGATTCTTTATTAATACAGTCAAAACCGTTTACTGCGACATCGCTTAGAACAACATGCCGGTTATAACAACCTAGAACAAAGGTCCCGGCTGAATGCCATATGACCGCCTTATTAAAAACATTGCTTTATACGACATTGCTAATAACGACATACCTCATAAAACGACCACATTTAACTAATATTTCGGAGAATTAGATCTGTTAGAACGACCGGCTAAGCTGTATTGTAAACAATTTGAATAGGTATCCAAATTGAATAGGTATAGGTACATTTGTCTTCAATGGCTATTAAAATCAGGAAAGAAAACAATAGGATTTAGTTTAGTGTAGGGTCTTTTCTAATTCTTAGAAACAAAACACGTGTATGCGGTACAGTCAAAGCCCGCTTCTTCATATTTCTTCATTTAGTTTGTTACTTATCTATACACAAGACGCTCCAAAACTGTGTGGAGTTATTCGTGAAACTTTCAAAATGTCGCGAAGAAAAAGAAAACAAATTAATATTAAAAAAAAATCGCGTATTATGTAAATATATTTTTCCAATAATTCCCTATCGATTTGTTTGTACTTGCACGATACACATTAAACATCACCGGTTGTTACGACTATCGGTTTTTACGACTGAATATGAGCAGTCCCTTCGATGTCGTTATAACAGATTTTGACTGTATGTATTTAACTAAAAATTATCATTATATTATTATCATTCACTGTCTAGTATCACAATCAATTGCCACTATGACATAATTATCAAATCATTGAAGTTATCATTCGACACTTGGTGTGAGCTAGGCGGCCGTTTTTTTTTTTTTTATTTCCCTTGTATGCAGTCGAGCATACGGCCCACCCGATGGTGAGTGGTTACCGTCGCTCATGGACTTCAGCAATGCCAGGGGCAGAGCCAAGCCGCTGCCTACCGCTTAATACTCTCCATAAGCCTCGTTTGAAGAAGGACATGTCATAGCGCATAGAGCACACCGTGGAGGGGAGCTCATTCCATAGCCGGATGGTGCGTACGGTGCGTGAGTAGTTACACCGCCTTACGAATACACTAGGAATAGGTATATGAAAATGAAAAGGAATCGAGAACAGGGCAAAATAAATGTAGAAACAATATGTTGCCTAAAAACATTAATGTTTTATTTATTTACAACAACAGCCCAATAAAAACAAAGGGAACAGTATGTTTTTCAACAATTTATTTAATTTAGGTAAAATAATTATTTATTTACCCACGAGTGTACTCGAAGCTCGTATGTGATATGGATGTAACTGATAATAAACTTATAATTCATCTTAAAAAAAAAACAATTCTGATTAATAAAAGAATCAAATACAAAAAATGCAATTCATGTCATAAATATTAATTGAAATTATATAACACGTGATAAGCTTCGTGTCTGCTTTAGAGATATCCGAAACTAATTTTTGAAATAAATATAAAATCATCGATCGATGAATGTTTTAGAAGCAGTTTTTCTAAAACACTCATCGATCTTTAAATGGAACAAGTTCATCAAAAAGCTTTCATTTAACAGATTTCTCTGCGTTCGACACCAGAGCCAACCAATTCACAAATTAAAAAAATATTAATTCTGTACTAAACACAATTCATATTATTTTAATACCGATACTATTTATTATGAATG